ATGATTTTTTTAAACATGTTAGTAATCAAATTAATTTATAGTTAACTGGACCGTAATAATATATTCTCCATACTTTAAACTAAATTGATAATCTAAGTGACATAAAATAATAATTCACTCTCATTTAAATAACTATCTTGATTTTTTTTTGGGTCATAACTCACAAACTTTCTATAAGATCACATTTTTATTAAGTTTCTATAAAATAGTGTCAGTGAGTCAAAAATATTTTGAGGTTAGCAGCCGTACTTTTTAATTTCAATGCTGTAACAAATATCTTCTATTCATCTTTTGGATCCACTTTCCACATGCACTCCGCAACATATTCCACTTATTAAATTGTAGGGCACTAAGTGTTACTTTTTAGAAGCATTCTAAAATTATAGAGAAAAAGTACAACATCACAAGTTCATTTAATATTTAATATTTATTAGATTAATTAATATATATGATCATTTAAGTTGGTTCTTTTACAACTTGCGCCAACCTCCATTAGTACACGTATATGTATATAATTATCGAAAAAGATAGTTACAGTCATTGGTTGTTTGATTAGTCAAGGACGAGTTGGTATTAAACCACAAAAAGTACATCCAATTAAAAAAATTTAGCCGTAATCATATGTCAATTAATCTGAAATGAAAAATCATATTTTTAACATGAATCACAGCATGCCAAAGTTCAATAAGTTCACCATTTGTATTTTCCCTAATGTTTCACTTCACCTTTTCACGTGTTTTGGTTAAATCTTAGTGGGATTTTATTTTTCTATGCCTAATTTTCACTTTAAAACACATGCACCAAACTCTAAGATGTAATGAATAGAGTCATTTGTTATACCGTATTTTTATTATGAAACTTTTAACATCGAAAGAGATTCTAGATATCCGTCACGAATAAATTTCAATTCGGGTTAATATTATTATTAGCCTTTATAGTTAAATCGATGTTTAGTTTTGGTCCATTAGCCTTTATAGTTGAATTGATGTTTAGTTTTGGTCCCTATATTTTCAAATTATTGACTTTGATACCCATCTTTGCATAATTTTTTTCGTCTGAGTTTAACAAGTAGTCTAGATATTTTTTATAAGTTTTGGTTTTGGTCAAGAATGAAATTAACCCTAATTTATGTCATAAAGTGTCACCAGGTTATCAAAAGATATTTCATACAACTAAAAGAAATTATGAAGATGACAAAGATGGGGTGATGGTACATAGTTCAATAAAATTTTCCATATTTGTAAAATCTTATAGATTTTTATTTTATCTTTGAAAAAAAATACATAATGTCCTTTCAATTTCAATAAAATTATATAGATTTTTAATTTTGGTTTAGAAATAAAAATATTTCTAAAATTAATAAACATATACTCGATAAGAAATCACAGTAAATTAATAAATCTTGATTTACTTTTGTTGAAATTACATAGACCTTTTTATGTTTATAAAATATGCGAAATTTTCTTTTAAAATAGGAAAAAAATACGCGATTTCCACAAACTTTTTTTAAGGGTTGTGTGAATTCTTGTTTTTTCTTTTTGGTTTTTAAGAATGATAAATGTAAAATTTAAAGAAAGAAGTTGTTAAAATTCGAAAGAAAAACCCCATATGTTCAACGCTGCCCATTTATATAAATTACCTATCGACTAGGTTATTGCTCATAACAAGGAGCAAAACTCAAATAGATAATTTTCAAATGTCTCATCAACTACTAATACGAGACATATATGGAAATTAGTCAAATTAATAAGATGACCGTAATCACGATGTCTCCTCTCTTTTTTCATGACGAACATGTCATTAATCAAGCTATGTTAAAAAATATGATTTTCACACAATAAAATCAAACTTTGAAGCATGCTTTGTGTTGTGTGTTGTGTGTCTACCAAATCCTCCACTTTGTCTTCTCAACTTGCTGTAAATCGGATATACCACAATCCATTTGGTTGAATGAGAAGGAAAATGAATGTGATTTGATCTCTTCTTTAGAATGTAATTTTCATTTTTGCAATTTTTATTTAATAGTAATATATTACTTTTTCATTAAAAAATTATATGTTAAATTGGTCTATCTATTTATATTCTATTTTTTATTTAGTCCATACATATTGCCAATATTTAGTCCATCTTGAAAGAAATATAATAATCTTCCGGTCCTCAATATAAAAATTACTTAACTAATTTAAGTAAATTAAAAAATTAAATAAATTATTTAATTCTAATAAATATAACGTGATTTATCTAGTAGTATTTCATACTCCTTGTAGTATGATGTCATGCATATACTCTAAAATGACATATAATCTAAATCAAATAATAAAATTAATAGCTCTCTAATTTTCCCAAGTTTATATTCTACGTCCAAAATACCAACATTTCTCTAGATCCTTTCATTAAACTATTCTTTGTTGTCTATGAAATTTTCCCCCTTGAAATACTAATTTATATGACATGACAAATAATTAATTTTCCATTATTAATCAAGTAGGGATGCAACTATGTTCAATAAGCTTAGAAAAACAAAAGTAGCTAGGAAGAAGCTTCAAATGGAAGATACCTACACACACACACTCCTCTAGTATTTAATATATAATCTCATTATTGAATTGATCTTAGTCCTAAATATAATATCTAATTCTTATATTTATCAATTTTTTCTAAACTACTCTCATTGATACTCCTTTAACCATAATCAAGTAGGGGAGAGAGAGGGATGATATTAAAAAAGATAATTACGGTGTTTTCGGAAAAAAAATATATCATATTTTTTATAATCAATTAACTTACCTAACTTTTTTAATCTAATCAAATTAGTTAAATAGCTCTTATATTAAGGATTGGAAGAGTGTGTGTGTATAGATTCAAAAGTGATGGCCATATTATATAATGGATGACCCTAGACTCCACTAATAAGCCTTGAAGGCTCTTTTGAGAAGATGGTGTGTGTTTTCTTGGACTTGAACCAAATAAAATTGAATACTACATAATATCCAAAATGGCATTTGCTTCTTTCTTCTCTTCTTCAAAATGTGTGTGTAGAGTGCTAATTAATATACTCCTCCGGTTCTTAATATAAGACTTAATTGTTAAGTTTTTTTTGTCTTAAATATAAAACTTATTTATCATATTTATTAGTTTTTTCTAAATTATCCCCATGGATACTCCATCAACTATAATCAAGCAAATGAGGGAGGAAGGATATTAAGAAAGATGATTATGGTGTTTTAGAAGAAAAAAAACATGTCATATTTCTTATAATTAATTAACTTATCTAACTTTCTTAATCTACTCAAATTAGTTAAATATTTCTTATATTGAGTACCAGACAAGTACATGCTGATGAGGATCTATAACCTGAAAAGAAGCTTGCAAGCAAAAATCCACACTTTTAAGGGACTAATTAAAAAGGTTATATGTGTGTGTGTGCATGTTTTGGCACGCTTTTGACTTGTGTCCTCAAGCAACATACGGTGGAGGCGGTAAGCCAGTTCGCTGCGGAGAGATTTTCTAAAAGAATTAGTTTTCAATTCCAAACAGAAAATTAATCTTGGGCAACATAAAGTGAAATTTGTCCCTCCAAATAAATTTAATTATTTATACCGGGTGACGTATATTTGTACGATTCCACAATATATATATATATTTATATAGCCTTATACAACATTATCATAATTAAACCGGGCGGCGTATATTTGTACGATTTCACAATACACACACCCACATTTATATATATAGCCTTATACGACATTATCATAAAACAAGGAATCACACAAACTTTATATCAATTTTAATGGAAATTACATTGACATTAGTTTCTCTATTTTAAGACTAAACAAAAAAAATCTCTTCATAAAGTAGGAAAATATGTATAATTTATTCTGTTTAGGTAAAATTTGTGTTGAGATTTTAGAAATAAAGTAAAACTTTTCATACATTTTAAAAAATAAAATACTCTTAACTCCCATGCCTTCAGATAAATGAGACAAAAAAAGGTTTAAATCTTATTTATTGGGATAAAAATAATTCACTCAACTAAGTCTTACATCTATCATCAGAAAAACATATAAATATAACCAAATAGCGTGTGTGTGTGTGTGTGTTCTTTCGGCCCTCATAAAGTAAACTCATTTTCTTTCAGCCACACTTACTCCAAAATATGAATTCAGTTTGACAAAATCTAGAGCATTAATTCTTTTCTTATTTTGTCCTCTTGAACAATTTTGTTCTGCTAACGTCCTTTTGAACAATTAAACTCTATAATTAATTAATTAATTCATCATATTTTAAGCAGTACTAGCTTTTAACAAAAATATATTTGAAAAATTTTACATATTATATATATAACAATTACTCTATATATTTGGCCAAAACAACAATTACTCTATATAACTTCTTTTTAATTATTACTATTTTTACGTACAAATATTCCTTGAGTTTTATGTATAAATATAAAAAAAAATCTTGTAGTTCTTAAACTTTTGGCTCGCTTAAGACTTTATCATTTTATTTTATTTTTTTTTTAAAGAAAATGATCCTTATCAATTCAACTCATAAATCATTCATTCTATTAAGGCTGATGTGGCAGCCAAGTCACCATCCATCATCATCGCTTGAAAAGGAATGAGTTGTAAACGAAATAAAGGTTCGGAAACCAAGTCTTGCGAAATTATAATTGAAAAAGTGAGTTATAAGTGTAATAGAAATTAAAAAGACTAAAACATTAATTTTCCTCACGTGTACCCGTGCGTGTGTAAGGAGGAGTAGTTAAGGCGTGTAAGTGAGAAAGATAGTGGAGGGAAGCCCAATCAGCACGTGTCGAGAAAGCAGGTTGAGAGCGTTTTCCACATTCATGTACCTCAACGATGACGTCACGTGGGAAACACCGCCACTTCCCTCCTTCTTCCTTTGGAAATTGAAACCTTCTACACCAATTCATTTCCTCCATAAATACCCTCCTCACCTTCTCCCCTATCTCACCATTAAACCCTACAGCAGTTTCATCTTCTTCCTTCTCTCTCTCTCTCTATCTCTATTCTCAACCCTAGTTAACTAATATTCCTCCGTCCGAAGCTGGTGGCGCCGCCGCTTATTGTGGTGGTTGTGACGATCGATAGATCATGACGATGACAAAGGTGGCCGATGTATGGAATGTGGTGCACGGTTTGAAGCCGGCGATGTTAATGGTGGTGGTTCAGATAGCATTCGCCGGCGTCAATGTTCTGTACAAGCTCGCCGTCAACGACGGCATGAACCTCAGAGTCGTCGTTGCTTATCGCTTTATCTTCGCCACTGCTTTCATTGCTCCTGTTGCTCTCATTCTGGAAAGGTCGGTTTTTCGTTATTCCTATCTGACAATATTTTCATTTTATATTTTGGTTCGTATACATGTTCCAACGTTTTATGTCGGAGTTTTTGTGTCGGATCGATGTATTTCCAATGAAGCAATAGTATTTTGAAAACAAAAACAAGTCTTATTCTATTAGGTGGGATTAGTTATATGAATCGCATGATGTTATTATGCTATATCAAGCAATAATATTTTGAAAGACTAGCCAAAACAAAATACTACTATTTTGAAAAAGCTGGATTCTTCTTGATAGGATAGACTTCTTCCTATCTCGACTCACACTTTGACTTTTCATGTCATGATCAATTCATCCTCCCATATGGTCACATTCATTTTCGTGTTTGGGAAATGAGAGAATCAATTGTGGGGAAAAAATCTCTTTCATGTTTTATAACCTTTTATACGTAAAGTCACTTAAAATATGCTAATTCTAAAGTAGCGGTTTTATGCGCATACGTAGATATTTATCTAAACATGCATGCCATATAATAATAAATTTCTTGAAATTCAAGTGGAAATGATTATACTTATTGTGTTTCTGTTTGCAGTGGTAATAATTGAAGGAGTTGAGCAATATAGATAATATTATAATAATAGTTTTGAGGAGGGAATATATCTACGAGTCTTTTCATCACTGTTTAAGAGGTTTCACGAAGCAATAGCAATAGCAATAAAACACACAGACCCACACACAAAATTCCACCATCAGAATAATAACTAAAGAAAGAAATTATGGAAAAAGGAAGAAAAGGCTTGGCTTGTTGGTGCATCTAATAGAACATGCTGAAGAAAGAAAAAGGAATAATAGTTGGAGCCTCTTTTTCATTTTAATGAATAATGGCAAACTATTTGCAGGAAGAAGAGACCAAAGATGACTTGGAAGGTACTGTTTCAGGCATTTCTTTGTGGCTTATTTGGGTAAGCATCAAATCATTATTAACCCATTAATAATTACTAATAGTTAGTACTAACCATTATGCGCTTTTCTGTTCATAATTCATATTGGAATAATTAGTTTCATAGTATTATATCTGAATTCTTTTTCAATGAGACACGTAAAAGGTCAATTTTTGCGGGGAAGAAAAGAAGAACAAAGAACATGAATTGGATTTTGCGGCCTTATATAAAATAACCCTACTTTAATTTTTATATTATAGGATTAAAGGAATAAGAAACCTGAGGAAAAAGTTGGACTGAGAATTGACTTTTAATTGATTAGTGTCTAGTGATGATCAGCTGTCGTTGTTGATTCTTTTACGAGTATATTAATATATATAGATATATATATTTTGTGGCAGACACTTGAAAGAATACAGGGTCATAGGTAACTCTGATGTCCCATAATGATGTTTTCTTTCTTGGGAAGTGGCAGTTTTAGTGGGAATTAAATGCAAAGTTATTATGAAAATTAGAAGAAATAGAATCGTGAGCATGCTTGACTCTTTCTCCGCCTCCCATTTGTAACTTTACGTGAATTATGCAGTCTTTTCTAGACCTCAAATTATATACTTTTTTTTTCTTCTCTGTCACCCACAATTTAAAATAATATTTTTATTAAAAATTATATATTTTTCTTAATTTTAATTTTTTCCCCACTCAAGTTATTTATATTCCAAGCGGTTGTGTATTTTGGACCCTTATATCTATAAATACCTGTTAGGGCCATTTTCGTTTTCACTATTTATATGTATGTGTGACGTGGAGATATTCTATTTTACTTTTCTTCCCACTCGAGTCCAATCGGTTGTGTGTTTAGGAGACTTGTTTCCATCAAATGCTTATATAGGAACTTGTTTGACTATTTCTACGTATAAGTGACAAGAAACACAAGCATTAATTGCAATCACTTCCACGAATTATCTTGAATTTTATTGAAATTGTGGAATCCTATGTGCTATATATTTTTAAAACTTAGACCTCCTTTTAAAAATAATATAATTGCATTGAGTTTCCCTGACTTTTCATTTAATTTACATCAATTAACTTCCTATTCATAAATTACACAATACCCTATAAACTTTTCAAATTACATAAATATTAATCTTCTTTTTCTTATAATTACACAAATATTAATATATTTTTAGGATAGGTTTTCTCAAATATATATTATTTTTCCAAAAAAACTTTAAAATATCACTACCATATTTATCCATTAAAATATTTAAAAAAAACTAACATATTTTCTTTACAATTATTCCTCCCGTCTTTAATGTATAACCTAATTAATTAATTTAAGTAGATTGAAGATGTTAGTTAAATTTGTTAATAAAATATTTTTTAAAAATATCCTAAACATTCTTCTTAATTTTCTCTCTTCTTCCCCTACTTGATTATTAATAGAAAAATATTAATCGGGTTAATTTGAAAAAAATTGATAAACATGTGACATAAGTCTCACATATAAGATCAACATCAACTTCCGAACTAGGTTCTAGTGACAAAGGAGTATTTGCCTTTTATCCTTGACATGGTTGTGTATGGATATCATTTTTTTAATGACAAATAAACTAACTAACTAATATGTTATTATCATTGCGTAGAGGATCAGTGGCACAAAACTTATACTTGGAAGCATTGGCTTTAACATCAGCAACATTTGCTTCTGCGATGGCCAATCTTATTCCAGCCATCACCTTTATCCTGGCCGTCTCCTTCCGGTGAGTTTCCTTCCACTCATAATTAACTTTCTTTCTTCCTTTTTCTCCTTTCTTTAATCACTTTCTTTTCTTATTCTTCTTGTTAGTTCCAATCCTTTCCCCTCTCTTTGTTCATCTTTTTCTCACAAATAATATAAGTTGGTACTCATTTCGGATTTCGCCTCCGCAAAAGTTTCCTTTTTTTCTTGAAGCATATACATCACTGCCCTATTTTGACGGAAAGCTTTACCGGAAAAAAGTAGCTTACATACATGACTAATTTCCACCAGTGGTAGAGATTCACATTCTCGAAGCATACATCACTACCCTTTACTCAAAAATCTCATATTTTTCGCATTAACTGTTAAAGAGTAAATTTTGGCCATTCACATTTTTAACGAAAAGGACAAAAATGCTCATTTGTTTTGGGGAAAAAAAAACTTTCTGATATTCACAGTACAGCTCTTTCTCGAATATTTTCATGACAAAAATTAGTCTTAACCCTCATAGATACTGATAAGGAATCTAATTAAATTTATTATCTATAAAAATGTGTATTTTTTTTTTCCTGAAATATCCACTCAATCATTTACACTGGAAGTTGCAACATTCATGAAAAACATTTTTCTATGTGTTTTTTTTTTTATTCAAGATGGAAACAAATTACGAAAAGTATTACAGATTTGAGATATAAAAATTAATTGAGACACATTTAGAACGAAGGCATATCTTTTACAAATTACGAACAATACAACTCATGACATCTTAAATTTTGAACAGGTTGGAAATTCTAAATTTAAGGACGGCAGCAGGAAAGGCCAAGATCATTGGAACAATAACAGGAATAAGTGGGGCTATGATTCTAACATTCTTCAAAGGTGCACAAATAGACACAGGCTCCTTCCACGTCACCCTCATGCATCATCGCAACGGACACGTGGCATCACCGCAATCTTCCACATCATCAAGTGGTAGTAACACCCTCTTAGGTGCCCTCTGTGCTCTGGGAAGCAACTTCAGTTATGCTACGTGGCTCATCATTCAGGTATATATATACACATATTTCCCTTAAATACTTCACCAAGTGTCGTTATCTTTTACTTGTCGTTTGTCGTTTTACTGCTAATTAAATTAAATAATTTCTTCTTCTTGTTTTTTTTTTTTAATTTTGGGTTATTTGCGTTAATAATACAGACTAAGATGAGTGAGAGTTATCCATGTCATTACTCAAGCACAGCTTTGATGAGTCTGATAGGTTCAATCATATCTGTTGGTTTTGCTCTCTGCCTTGAGAGGGATTGGTCTCAGTGGAAGTTAGGTTGGAATGTTAGGCTTCTCACTGCGGCCTATTCGGTACGTTATATATTAATTATTGTCCAAACTTGTGAAAAATATGAGATTTTTGATTTTGTGCATAAATCAATTTTTGTCATTAACTAATTACATGAAATTATTCTAAATTATGAATATTACAGGGAATAGTGGTTTCTGGAGCTATGGTGGTGGTGATGGCTTGGTGTGTACATATGAGAGGCCCTCTTTATGTGTCTGCTTTCAACCCTCTTTTGCTTGTGTTTGTGGCCCTGGCTGGGTGTTTTATGTTAGATGAGAAGCTGCATCTTGGAAGGTATATATAGGATTTTAGTTTGCTTCATTATTTTCAAGAAAATATGATTTCGGTTTTTTAACCCTAATACCGTTAGTTTGAAATGATTATCTTTTTTTTGTAACAATCATAATTATTTGAAAATTAAACTAAATATTTGGCACCTAAGAATGTTTTGTCAATGTTTAAAATTGTCATGGCCAATTAGACTGAAGAGACATTTTATAAAATTAAGATTAAAAAATAAAACTTTATATAAAGTTAAACAACTAAATTTGTGTTTTTGCCTGCCTTACTACCACTGAGCACAATTTTTGGTAGCTTAAAGTTTATATAACACACATATTTGTTAATCATGGACATCTGAATACTCTTATGCATGTATATTTGTGTGCCCATACATGCCATCATGTACGTTTGACCAAAAGCATGCATGCGCATTATATTTTAATATATTTGAGTTACTTTATTATTGATCACTTAGTGCCACAAATTTGCAGTGTAATTGGAGGGGTATTGATAATCTGTGGGTTATATGTGGTTCTATGGGGAAAGGGCAAAGAGATGAAGAAGATGAACCAACTTGTTCCATCACAAAGCCTTCATGAAATCATAGTGACATCTCCAACAGAAGATAAATGTGCTCCACATAACAATAATAGTGATGATGAAGCTATTAGAGATGGTGATTATTCATCAGAAAATGCATGTGATCAAGAGTTGCAGGATAACCAGAATAATAAAAGCTAGAGATCGGAGGAGGAGGAGGAGGAGGAGGAAGAAGAAGCAATATGAAGAAGTAGTTAAAATATTATATATTCAGTTCTTTTTTTTTTTTTCAAGAAGTTTTAGGTTATGCCATCCTTTTCTAATAGCTCCCACACTTGTTATCAGCATTTTTGGTGGCTTAGAGGAAAAGCAAGAGATAGCCGTAGATGCTTTATATATTTTTATTTTCTTTGTTTAGTAGTTTATTTTGTTTTATATATTTTAATTTGTTTTAATGTTCAGTCCGGAAAGCATATTTCCAATTGTAACATATAGAAGGAATGGCAATAAGTTCTTTTATTTTTAATTTTCTGTTGGATCATATATTATCAAATTGTGCCCTTGTTGTCGGATTGGGGGATCTGGTTTCTCACATTTACACACTTTTTTGTGTATGTTGTCTAAATTTGATCCAGATGTTTTCAAAATTTTCTTAATGTAAATTATTTTTTAAGTGATAGATAAAATGTTATCATAATTTCCTCTAAAATTAAAAAATAAATTACAATTTAATAAATATAATGGAGTGTAGACTGTTCAAATTAAATTTCGAAGAAGTCAGATAAGATTTCTCTGATTAATTAAGATCTTATTGCAGGAGAGAGATACAGAATCAGTTTAGTTGTATGGCATCTTTTTATTTGAGATAAAAATATATGTATTTTGTGAGAATTAGTTAAAGAGAATAAGTACGTAATTTGTCTATCTTTCACTAAAAAAAAATAACATTAATTTTCCAAACTTAAAAGAATTAAAGTGAAGTGTCCAAGTACCAATAACAGTTTTATAAAGATGAGGCTGCCATCTTTCATCACATAAATTGCCTACTTTTAAAAAAGTAGCTTTGTCTATTTAATCCGAGGAAAATATTTCCAAATAAAAAGCAAAGGGAAATGAAAAAGACATAATATAAAAGAAACAACTTTGTGGAAATATGAACGATAATGTCCTTTAAGAATCTCATCAGGTAATACATATCCACAATCTATGCACATATATGCCCCATAATTGTGTTTTAGGCACTATACAAAACCAATAAAAATATATTAATTTAGAAAATGACATATAAAATATAAATTATTAGTTTCTTGAATAATAAAAAATAATAAATTCATCTTGGTAACAATATATAGTGCAATAGGATTATGCAATCCATGTAGTCGACCTCAACTAGTGAGATAAGGTTTTGTTGTTATTATTGGTAAGTTATTTTTTAGATAAATTGGAACATCTACCAATAATAGTTTGTCTACTTTTTTGAATTTATAAACCCCTAACTTTAAAAGTACAAATTATTTTTCAAAGTCCACACAATATATATATAAGCTCACTTAGTTTAAATAAAACCGTCATATTATTAGCTCAACCACGTAAATAAATTATAGTCATTCATAAGAAAATAAGTGCCAGGAAAATAGATGGATATAACAAAAGTCAAATCACAGTAATTACTATCCTAAGAGAAACAATGATGAAGATCAAGGACAAGAAAATGGGGGGGGGAAAAATTAAACAAAGACTTAAAGACTAAAGCAAGAATTTGACTTAATAATATTAGGTAGTCCGTTTGAATTAGATGTAAAGAATTGATTTTACTTTGTGTAAGGTAAATGTACAAAAGTTTTTGTCTCCTAAAATGTAAAATTAATTTGAGAAACAACACAATGTTGCTATTTCTCCATTATAAAAGCCAAACCATCTAGATTAAATTTAGATTGTCCATATTTTTAGTTCTATTTGATATTATTTCTACATTCAATTACAATGTATTGCATCTTTTAAAATCGAAAAATGAAACGTGAAAAATTTTGTGAAAAATTTTAAAAGTAAATGTGAAGCGTCCAGATTCGTTGAAACAGCAGCAAAAGGAACTTTATTCGTCTAGTCTTGGGCTTTCTATTTTTGTCCTAAGATGTCTCATACAAGCCAAAGAAAAGAGAATTAGTGGTTAACTAAATAAAGTGGAAGAAATTCAAATGGTCTGGCCGTGTGCACCATTTGATCAGAAAAATAGGATTTGAAATCAATTAATTAAGAAAGTCTGTGAAAATATTTTAAATAAAAAATAGAATAATTTTTGTTTTGTTGCAAATAATAATATGAAACATAATTAATTAGGGGCTAAAATAATAAAAGAATTGTTGGCAAAAAAATAAAAGAATTATTTATGACATAACCAATCCACTTGCTTCACACCTTTGATTTCCATGTATGCTTTTTCAAAATGGTTATTTCATCTTTGTTCTTGTTGCTTTGTTCACATTACTTTGATCTAATGTTTTGCTGGTCCAACAATTGGTGTTCAATACACACACACACACACATATCTTCCCTCTCTGTGGAATGTGGATAGATTGATTCTATGTTTTATTTTCTACTTTTGTTGGGTTATGATTTTTTGATTCATTGGTTGCCGATCCATATGGTTGTTGTGGTGGTTTGGTGGTTGATTTTGGTGGTGCGATTGTACATAGCAATATTGAAGATGAACATATATGCATGCTTTATTTTTTTTTATGAAAAAAATTAATTTGTAGATTAATACAGTTTCACCTTATTTTTAATCAAGTTCTTGTAATATTTTTTTTATTGTTATGAATATTATATGGATGTCCATTTGCCTCTTTCTCTTCAACTTCACTAAATAACTTCCACTATGTATTACTCCTCTACTATCCATTTAATCTTATAACTCACATCTACTCACATTTATAAGATTGATCATCCACTATTTGTCATTTAAGAACAAGTGTAATCTATGGGTAAGACTATACCTATAAAAATAGGACATATCATTTGTGTTGTGGAGCAAGTAAAGAAATACAATAGTTCTCTTATTTTCTTGTCTTCATCTTTCTCTACTCTACTTTTGTGGTTCCGTTTCATAAGATTTGTTAGGTTCTTGTAATTTTTAACTCAATTTTTAATTAATTTTTTATAGCTTCAAATTACTAATAAAAAATAACTACAAGGACCTATTTAGGAATCAGATAAAGTTATAATGATCAAATTAAAAATTAGGTAAAGTTATAAGAGCTTACAAATTAATTTTTCCTTTTTGTTATTTGGAAAGGACATTTTTGAACTTTTCATAATATAAAAACACATATCGAATAAAAAATTATATGAAAAAAATTATACCCATGATAAATATATATATGCTTTTGAAACTTACTCTCATCCAAGTCGCACATTCTTAAAATAAAAAAATAAAAAAAACTCTTTCTAGCATATGAAACGAAGTGTTCCCTTTTTTCGTTTTGGTGACAAGTGCTCCCCTTTTCATAATTAAAAAAACACATATCAAACACTACCAAATTGTAAGTAAATTTAAAAATATAAAACATCAAAAACTGACTTCAGTTTCAAAGTACCAATGATGAAAATAGTAAGAAGTTACAAACACTCGCACTTAATTTGAAATGCAAAAGAAAAGAAAAAGTCCATTAGGTTAGAGGGTTACACTCCACATGCCCAACTTGCACTAAATGGAGAGAAAAAGTGAGGAAAAACTCAAAAAGGTAAAGAGCACTTATACGTATAGAAGTGTGTAAAAATTTATAATATGTAAAGAAGAGCATTATGAGAATTAATTAATCCATTTTTTAATATATTTTATTCCCATCTAGAAAGCTTGAAATTGAAGAAGTTTTCTTTAGCAAAAGAAATTAAAAAAAAAAAAAGGAAAAAAGGAGTTGCTAGGAGGTTGTTAAACCCAATTCGAACTCGTATATCACATAGTGGTCCTATGTGTACCCCACCAAAAAATTAACTCTTTTCTTTTAATTAAAATCACATTTGAATTATCAATTAATTAATTATATTTACCTAGAGGGTACTATATATTTAAGCGATTAAACATAACCCTGTCCTTTATATATCATTTTCACAACTAATATAACGTTATTAAAATTCAGGTGACGAATTGAATTAAAAAGTAAATTAGAAAAACTGATTACGTTAATCAAACTGACGAAGGTAATTATAGGATTTATTACAATTTAAGCTCAGCTTACGACTACAGTGCTCTATCTCCTGTGTAACTTCTACATCCCTTTGTAAAATATAATGATAATTATTGGTAATAATATTCAAATAAACATAATTAAAATAAAAGGTACATTTTCAATCTAATGGTTGTTTGTGAGATTTTTGTTACAGTATTCATAATATATATTTACAGATTGAATCAAGAGAAAAAATTTTCTCCAGATATAAATATTAATATATTTTATCATCAGTTTTGTGACAAAACAAGAAAATGACCACACACAAAAAAGACAGATTTGTTTACGAGTAAAAATGACAAAGAAATCTCAATTGAGTTTGATACTCAAATTTGATTCAATAATATCAAATAAAAAAGACAAATTACAAAAGCGTGATATAAACCTGAATCAAAATATAAAAAAAATGGATTGAGAATGAATAATTAAAGAATCCACTACCCCCACCCTATTCCTAAAATTAAAATTAAATACAAGTGTTTGGAAATTAATATATGTATTTATTTGAAACAGGGTGCTGAATACATACAACACATCGGTTTTGACCTTTTGACCATATGTCTTAAGGCCTTTTTGGTCGTATTGTAGCGGAAATATTACAAAAACACATTACCTCTTTTTGTTCGTTAGTCTCATTAAGCGTGCAAAACTGCAATTTTCCTCTTCCTGGATTTGAAAGCCAGCTTTGTGGCAGACACAATTAGCGCAATCACGCTAATTCATTGAACAAAAATTTACTAATCCTTTTAAAATTTTAATTGGCTTTAAAAGTGAAAACAAAATTAATGCCCTTTTAACTTATTAATAAATTAAAGATCAGCACTTTTAATTCCATGATGGATTGATAGTGTGGTGGTTGATAGTACAAAATTACCTCAGTTTTCATCCCATATTGTCTAAATAACTAATTTTTTTTCCAAATAATTTACGACACGAAACAATAGCTTCAAGTGAATCAATAATAACCTGCTACAGTTTATATTATATTTTTTTAATGAAAAAATTGATATTTAAATTAATGGACTATATACATGTGAGTGTGAAATTTATATTTAGATTATAAAATTTTGAAGCTATACGAATAGTAGGCATATGGCAATTTCTACGAAGCTAGGTTTGTACAGAGCAGAAGAATGGCAGAAGCATATATGAGAACTAAATAAATCAAACTTGTTGAAGATAGATGATGGTCTATGAAGTGAAACTATGAACCACAACATCAAAGGTTGTCTCAAATTGACCAACTGAGATTCATTCATCACCAAATGTCAACAAAAACGTGTTTTTCTTCGAACATTGTGACTTTCTCCGAAAACCTAAATCATATTCTTCTTCATCATTCCTGCTTCGTCATTGCCCATTATTATAAGTACCCCCTTTTGCCTTCCCTAAATCTTTCATATAGATTCCTTCATTAATAACTCAAAAGACTCAAACTTCAAGTACCCTTTTGCTTCCTTATTTTATCCAACTTAATTTCTTACATATTTGCTCCATATTATCGTTCTCAGAGGCTCAGAGTCATATTCTGCAGAAACTTGTAGAAGCTTATTATTATATCAGTTAAGTCATATTATTGTGTGAGAGATGAGGAATCTATGGAAAGCAGTGGATGGGTTGAAACCAGCTTTGCTGATGTTAAGTGTACAGATTGCTTTTGCTTCTGTGAATGTGATGTACAAAGTTGCTATTAACCATGGAATGAGCGTTAGGGTTCTCACTGCTTATCGTCTCATTTTTGCCTCTGCTTTTACTATTCCTCTTGCTCTTCTTCTTGAAAGGTACTTTAATATTTATTTTCCTTCCTTTGTCCTTCATGTCTTAGTTCTTGCATTTCTTGCTTATTTATATTCCTTCCTTTATCTTTCATATCTTAATTCTTCCATTTCTTGCTTCTATGTTTTCTCAATCTTGCATGCATGAACGTCTCACGTATTGTTCAAATTCTTAGAAATTAAATAACTCGTATATTTTACTGCAGCTTGTTAGAATTTCTATATCATAAAAGGTAGTACATATATATAATATACTCTACAGTTTATTCATTGTTTTTATTTTTCTTGAAATATTGGGATTGCGGAGAATAATTTTCATAATATTTAATTATTTTTATGCACTAACTTGTTGAGAATGTGTGCATGTGTGTCATGTTAATATTTTGAAGTTTGACAAATTATCGTATCCTTAAATTTAACATGTATATATTATATACTATGCCGATGCCTCCAATAGGTGGATACCATTATTATTATTCTTTAGTTTATTTTTAATCAAGATTAATACTTTTTTTCAGTTTAATTAAATGATTTAACATTCTGTTAAAAAAAATGATTTAACATGAGGACAGGTGTTTTTATGACAAACCAGCCATCTTTACGTTCTTAACAGCTGATAATTAACACAAGCATTGAAACCTTAGGACTCTTAATTTTAACTAAGCTAGTTACTGTATCTCTTTGCACAAGATTAATCAATTTTGCCTAATTTTTTTCCTTTTTATTTATATTTTCAGGAATAAGACACCAAAGCTGACTTGGAGGGTATTGTTCATGGCATTCTTTTGTGGTTTATTCGGGTAGGAGTTTGATTACGTGTAAATTATTAAGTATCAAATATATAAATATATAGAGCTTAAATTAAATATTGATTAACATTTTTTTTTTTGATGAAGTGATTAACAATATTATCTTACATGGATCATGTTATAATTGATATTGCAGGGGAAGTTTGTTTCAAAACCTTTATTTCGAAGGTTTGGCTTTAATATCTGCGACGTTTGCTTCTGCTGTTTATAATCTCATTCCTGCTGTCACTTTTATCTTGGCAGTCTGCTGTGGGTAGGTTTTCACTCTCACTTATATTGTACAAAATTAGACCAAATATTTTTCGATATATTGAATAGAATCTAAGATGTTTTTGCCAACAGAATAAAATATAATCTAAGTCAAGTCATATAGTTTATGACTTATAAATATAGCACTTTTCTATAATCTTAGAAAATTTTCACTTTTTCTACAAATGAGAAATTCTGATCATTATAATTTAACTAAATTGTCAATCTGGTTCTTGCAGTTTAAAAACTTACAATCAAGTCCTTAGATTATATGTACTTTTTGTCTCTTTTATTTACTTAAATAATTTATATTTGTAGAAATGACTTTGTTATGTAAACGAAATTTAATAAAATATTGACAAAAGGGTATTCAAAAGCAATTTCTTGCTTTATAAAAATTGTTTTAAAAATCCTGTTTAAGTGCCTTAAAACTGATATGAAATTTGTGTTTTCTTCCTTCCTTAATGGTGACAGATATGAGAAATTAAATCTGGGGAAGGCAGAAGGGAAGGCAAAAGTGTTAGGAACAATAATAGGGGTAGGAGGGGCAATGATGCTAACCTTCATGAAAGGCATAGAAATCAACATTTGGACATTTCACATTCACCTTTTGCGTCACAACAACACTTCAACCTCACAACATGGCAGCAAATTGCTTGGTGTTTTCTGTGGCATCGCAAGCTGCTTCTGTTTTGCACTTTGGCTCATCATTCAGGTGCGAATGTTTTGCCAGTCAGACCGATCGGTCGATCCATCGGTTTAGGATTGTAATTTATTGTGTAAGTAAGTTAGGTTGATGAGTGCATGAATTGCAGGCAAAGATGAGTAAGGAATACCCAAAGCATCATTCAAGCACAGCCTTGATGTCCACAATAGGGGCAATTCAGTCCACTGTGTTTGCTCTTTGCATTGATAGAGATTGGAGCCAATGGAGGTTGCATTGGAATGTCAGGCTCCTAACTGCTGTTTATTCGGTAAATATATAGATATATATATATATATATATATATAACTAGATCATTACATTATTATGTTTGTCTTTCTATCAAAATAACTTCCGCTAATTTGATAGGACTCAATTTAAGACCATATTCCTTCAATTCATTTTTCAATCAATCAATATGGGATTATATATATATATATTCTAATATTTTTCCTACTACATTTTTTTCTTCATTTCTTTAATGTCCCTGATTGAATGGTTTTGATATCATAATATTAGATTATTTTTAGTGAATTAAGGTATGTCTTTCTCTCAAGATGGCTTGGGCCAATTTGATAGGACTCACCTTAATACTATATATATACTGTCAACTTATTCTCCAATTACTCTGATTTGGTATGAAACATTGATAATGAGAGGTAATGATTGAAATTGAGATTGAAAAACCTATTAAAAGAGTATTTAGTATGATGGATTATGTTTGATACTTAGACTTAGGCAAACTCATATAGGTGGAATTAGAAAATAGCCTGAGGGCGGTATTTCCCAGTTCTACCCACATGAGTTTGCCAAATTCCAAGTAACAATCATAATCCCTCATACTAAATACTCCTCCGATCCTTAATATAAAATCCATTTAACTAATTTGATTAGATTAAGAAAGTTAGGTAAGTTAGTTAATTCTAAAAAATGTGACACGTTTTTCCTAAAATGCCATAATCATCTCTCTTAATACCCCATCTCCCTCTTCTACTTGATTATGATTGAGAGAGTATCCATAGGGGTAATTTAGAGAAAATTGATAAATATGAGAAATGGGTCTTATATTTAGGACCAAAACGAACTTAACAATTGGATCCTATATTAAGGACCGGAGGAGTATTTTTTTAATGAATTTTTTCAATCGTAGTCTCAATCTATACATCTCATTCTCAGTGATTTAAACCAAACGATGCCATAGGGTCTCATGTATTACACTAGGTCTCTTATAAATAAGTACACTATTCATAGACTTTTTTTTTTTTTTGGACTCAATATTCATAGACTTGTATATGCAGGGAGTAGTGGCATCAGGAATAATGGTGATAGTGATAGCATGGTGTGTGAGGATGAGGGGCCCACTGTATGCCTCAGTGTTCAACCCTCTCATGCTTGTGCTGGTCGCCATCGCTGGCTCCCTCATGCTGGATGAAAACCTCTACTTGGGCAGGTAATCTATATTCACTTCATCTTCTTATAAAATATATATATATATATATATATATATATGGAGGTATGTATGTATGTATATTTATATATATTTCATATGTATAAATTATTATTTTTTGACTCTGGGGATGTAATTTGTGTGCGCGTGTAGTGTAATTGGAGCAGTGCTGATAGTGGTAGGGTTATACCTAGTGTTATGGGGAAAGGGCAAAGAGGCCAAGAAGATGAATCAGTTAGTACCCTCCGATCAAATCTCTCAACAATCTACAGCCGTTGAGATTGTTGTTCATCAAGTTTCTTCATTATCCAAAGCTGAACAACCAGTTGAAGATTCCCAGAATAAGCCCAACGATGACCAGAACACACCCTCCTTATGATTGTCGCAGATTGATAATTGATAATAAATATATATAATGAAGCTTCAATAATGATTTGTAAAGTAAGTTTGAATTTATTTACAAAAATGTTATCAATCATTTTTCTATATATGCTGGTTTTAGAACTTATCGATATGCATTTGCAACCTAGATACTCCTTCTATTTCTTATTATAAAATCCAAATAACCACATCACGTTATTGAAGAAATATGATAAAATTAATTAGTCAAAAGTAATAAACACATAAAAAAAATACTTTTTCTTCAAATATATCCTTATTTATTATAAGTGGGCGTACTAATTGTGACTGAGAAAAAAGATGAGATAGAGAATATATATATATATATATATATTAGTATATGAGAAAAAGATAATAAAAGATAATATATTAATTAAAAGTGAAATGAGTAAAAATGTATTTATTATTCAGACAAACTCAAAAAAAGTATTATAAAAAGAGGTCATTCAACTGATTCAAAAAATTGAATCTTATAATAAAGGAGGGAGGATTACCATTTAGTGTACTAATCTTGGTTAATGATTTGATGATTAAAACACACCATCAATATATATAATATTAGGAGGCTATATTATTTAATTTGAAAGTTATAGACAACACAACTTCTCCCAAACTTTGCATCAGGCACACAAGGCTTAAAATCTAGCTTAGTTTATAAAATGATATTAATTGATATACATATAACACAAAATTCAAAACAACTCTCATTATTCGTAATTTATGAATAATATATAACTACATTGGGCTGGCAGTTGAGCTTCAATACGTACGGGCAACCATGCTTTTACCTTTTTCCTATTTTGTTATTGTTTAGTACTTTATATTGAGTTTGTTTCTGTCTACTGATTGTTTGGACTTTGTTTAAATAATCTTTTCGTAATGGGTCAATCTTTTTATCTGTATCTTTTTATCTTTTAATAAATTGCATTTTAATTATAAAGAAAAAGAATAATATATAACTTACATCGAAGTCTATGTAAAATGTGCTTTCATTAAATTTATATAACATTAGTTTTAATAATAGCAAATAAATAAGTTAGACGTAAAATATAACAAATTAACCGCGTTAATTTCATCATGTGTAAGCTTCATTTACATACCTATTATCACATTAGAAGAATGGATTGACAGAATGTTATACATTGATCATTATTTTATTTTTGACGAATTCATTAAATTAAAAAGTGACTATATCATATGGAAAGAGATAATTTTATGAAAATATTTATTATTAATGGAATCAGTATAAAATAATTATAGGATATGTCAAATTAAAGAAAAGTAAATTATATAACGTGTAACCAAAATCAACCATTGAATTATGATATTCAAATGATTAATTAGGCCATTAAACAAGAAAAAATGGTCATTATGAAATTGAGGCCTTAGAATAATGTTGTCCAGCCCAGTCGAAGCAAACTTGGTGGCCCAAATCCAAGTCCGGGGCTCAGTGTGGGCAGAACGCGTGAAACGTATGTCGTTCAACGGTGAGTTGTTGTTATTCATGAAGAATGAACAGGATGATGGTTATACGGGGAAAACAAAAACAGAGAGAGAAATGTGTCTACTCGAATATAATTTGGGCCTGAGTCCATATAAAAAGCAACAAATTTCCTCTAAAAAGGTGTCCAAAATACGATTGCTTCTAATAGAAACATACTTATGCGTTACAAAAAATGCTATATGTAGACAACTTTAAAAAGTCATGATACCTCGAATTCTACAAAAATAATAAAATTTTTTATCAAAAATAATTTATATAATTTCACTCAAAAAAATAATATATATAATTTAGAAAATTAAATTAAGCTTAGTGACTCATAGTGCACATGAATCATTAATATGAACATATCATAACCCAGGAAAAAAAATCATGAAGAGACATGCTTTAGTTCCATGTGACTTTTTTATATTCTTTCATAATATTAATTTCTCCGTATATTTCATTGGTCTCATATATGCAACTTTGTTTATAAAGAAATGGGTACGTCTTGTTTTATAAAAAAAAAAAAAAAAGCTTTTTAAGTTATTTATATTATCTATTTCGTGCATCATACTAAAAAAAATCTCTAATCAAATAACAAAAATTAAGTTCATATTTAGATTCTGTAATTTTGAAGCTGCGCTTACAGTGGGCATATGGCAATATCTACGAAGCTACGTTTGTAGAGAAAAAATGGCGGAGGCATCATGAGACATAAATAAATCAAACTTGTTGAAGATAGATGGTGGTCTATGAATTGAAGTGAAACTGTGAACAACAATATCAAAGGTTGTCTAGATTCATTCACCAACTGTCGACAAAGTGTTTTACTTCCAACATCGTGGCTATCTCTGAAAGCCTATTAAATTATATTCCTCTTTATTCCTGCTTCGTCATTGATGACCATTACCACCTTTTGGCTTCCATATAAATAGATTCCTCCATTAGTAACTCAAAGACTCAAACTTCAAGTACCCTTTTGCTTCCTTTCTCGTACGGATTGTTGCTTCACACACACACACGCACATATTTTGCTGAAACTCATAGCAGCTTATTATTACATCAGTTAAGTCATATTGTGGGAGAGATGAGGAATATATGGGAAGCAGTGGATGGATTGAAACCAGCTTTGATGATGATAAGTGTACAGATTGCTTTGGCTTCATTGAATGTGATGTACAAGGTTGCTATTGACCGTGGAATGAGCGTTAGCGTTCTCAATGCTTATCGTCTCATTTTTGCCTCTGCTTTTACTATTCCTCTTGCTCTTCTTCTTGAAAGGTACGTACATTAATATATATATATATATATATATATCCTTCATTCTACATCTTAATTATTCCATTTCTTGCTTCTATATTTTCTCAATCTTACATGCATTCATGTATTATATTTGTACTATTCAAATTCTTAGAAATGAGTCGTATATTTTACTTGCAGCTTGCTAGAATTTCCATATCATAAGGCAAATATATGATACGCTCCAAAATTTATTCATTGTTTTTATTTTTCTTGAAATATTGTAATTACAGAGAATAATCTTTATATATACATTATCATATATATCCCCCTTAAATTTGACTGTATTTAATTAACATGCATACATGTTGCGCCGATGCTTCATAATCATATAGATGGATACCATTATAATTAGTCGTTAGTTTATATTTTACTATCAAGATTAATATACTTTTCAGTTTAAATGATTTAACATGAGGGCAAGTGTTTTTATGACCAAATAAGTCACCTTTATGTCCTTAACTGCTAATGACACAAGTGTTGAAAATTTGAAACCTCAAGACTCTTAATCTTGACTAAGCTAGTTACTGCATCTATATGATCAAGATTAATCAATTTTGGCTAAAAATGTTTTTCTTCTTTTTTTATTTTTATTTATATTTGCAGGAAAAAGACGCCAAAGCTGACTTGGAGGGTGTTGTTCATGTCATTTTTTTGTGGTTTATTCGGGTAGGAGTTTGATTATATATAAATCATTAAGTATCACATATACGTGTGTGTGGGTGTGGGTGTGTGTGTGTGTGTGTAGCTCAAATTAAATATTGATTTACATGGATCATGTTATAATGGGTTAATATTCTGTTGCAGGGGAAGTTTGTTTCAAAACCTTTATTCTGAAGGGTTGGCTTTAATATCCGCAACTTTTGCTTCTGCTGTCTTTAATCTCATTCCTGCTGTCACTTTTATCTTGGCAGTCTGCTGTGGGTAGGTTTTCACTTTTCACTCTCACTTTCGACAGATGAATAATTAATATTTAAAAAGTGTATTATTTGGTCATATATTCTTCAACTTTTGATTACATTGCCTTATTTCGGGTAATATCTTTTGTGCTTACATTTTTTTGACATTGTTAAGTCATGCGTAAAATATTATTTCTCCTTTCTTAGAAAATTTCCAATTGTTCTACTAATGAGAAATTATAGTTCTGATCATCATAATTTAACTAAATTTGTGTTTTTTTTTTGGATCATGGTGACAGATATGAAAAATTTAATCTGGGGAAGGCAGAAGGGAAGGCGAAAGTGTTAGGAACAATAATAGGAGTTGGAGGGGCAATGATGCTAACTTTCATGAAAGGCATAGAAATCAACATTTGGACATTTCACATTCACCTTTTGCGTCACAATAACACTTCAACCTCAAAACATGGAAGCAAATTGCTTGGTGTTTTCTGTGGCATTGCAAGCTGCTTCTCCTACGCACTTTGGCTCATCATTCAGGTACCAATGTTTTGAAACTCAGACCGAACTGATCAGTTTGATCGATCAATTGGTTCATCAGTTTAGGATTGTAACTTATTGTGTAAGTTTGGTTGACGAATGCATGAAATTGTAGGCAAAGATGAGTAAGGAATACCCAAAGCATCATTCAAGCACAGCTTTGATGTCCACAATGGGAGCAATACAGTCCACTGTGTTTGCTCTTTGTATTGATAGAGATTGGAGCCAATGGAGGTTGCATTGGAATGTTAGACTCCTAACCGCCGTTTATTCGGTAAATATATACATACTACCTCCGGTCCTAATTATAAGGCCCAGTTGACTTATTTGAGGAGATTAAAGAAGCAAGTTAAGTTAGTTATTTGTAATAAATAAGTGTTGTCATTCCTAAAATATCCTTGCTAATTAAGTATATTGGCTAGAACTATCATTATTAGAAGGATTATCTTGGAAAAAAATGCATAAATATGAGAGACAAAATGGATTGGGGTCTTATAATTAGGACCAAACAAAAAGTCAAACGGGGTCTTATAATAAGGACCGGAGGTAGTATATGACTAAGATTGTTAGATTTTCAACGAATTATATATAAATTACGTTTTTTTTTTCAATGCAATTTTAACCGTGATCATAAAATTGCATCCGAGGAATAATATCAAGGTTAAAAGTACGCATTTATTTACCCTTAAATTTTTATTGAATTAGGTACATATTATTTTGTCTTTTTCTCAAAGTAGCTTAAGCCAATTTGAGATAGAACTTGCCTTAACACTATATCTACTTTCAGTTGATTCTCCAATTAGTCAATCCAATATGAAGACGGGTCTTATATGTATTGCACTGAGTCTGACTTGTGTGTGTGTGTGTGTGTGTATGCACTGTGCAGGGAGTAGTGGCATCAGGAATAATGGTGATAGTGATAGCATGGTGTGTGAGGATGAGAGGCCCACTCTATGTCTCAGTGTTCAATCCTCTCATGCTTGTGATTGTCGCCATCGCTGGCTCTCTCATGCTGGATGAAAGCCTCTACTTGGGCAGGTGATAGATGTGTGTGTCTGTAGATTCTCCCCCCCCCCTTAAAAAAATGATATTTAAAAAATAGATAATTATTTGTATATAAACATTAATGTAATTCTTGGTCCAGGCATATTTTGGTTTTGATCTCTTAAATTTGAAACTCATGATTTTAATCTCCAAAATTTAGTCCATCTTAGGATATAAGTCCTTGGAGATATAACAGTGTTAAAATCTGTCTAGTATCATAAACAATGTTAAAGGACATATAGCTTGACCATGTGTAAATAAGATAGAGGGAAAAAAAAATAAAGAACATGTCCTTAAATCGTAGCTATTTAGCTCCCTTTTTCCTCATTGTTCGTTTGAAGAGCTATTCACTATGCTGTCTTTTGTGAACTCATCCCTCTCTATATATAATTTGTTATTCACAGAAAATTCAGCTAAGTGCTATTTGATGAGTTTACATTACCACTTGAATATCATTTATAATACTTCAACAGATTTTAATACCATTACATTTTCAAAAACTAATATTTTAAGACAGACTAAATTTCAAGGACTAAAGCCACAAATTTAAAATTGGGGGTATCAAAACTAAAATGAAAACCAACTCTAAGAGCTAAAAATTATATTAAATCTATATTTATATATGTTTTATATAAATTATAATTATTTGACTTGGGGAATTTGTGTGTGCATGCAGTGTGATTGGAACAGTGCTGATAGTGGCAGGGTTATACCTGGTGTTGTGGGGAAAGAGCAAAGAGGCGAAGAAGATGAATCAATTACTACCGTCCGATCATATCGCTCAACAATCTGGAGCCGTTGAGATTTCTGTTCATCAAGTTTCTTCATTATCCAAAACTGAAGATGATTCCCAGAATAAGCCCAAAGATGACCAAAACACACTCTCCTCATGATTGTAGCAAATTTGCATTAAGAATAAATATATAATTTAGCTTCAATAATGATTTGTAATTTCACTTTATTTAATGTTATCAATCATTCTTCTACGTTGGTTTTAGGACTTATCATTTATCAAAAAAAGTTCATGACATAGATACTCCTTCCATCTCTTATTATAAAATTCAAATAACCATATTACGTGATAAATATGTATTTTTTTCAAATATGCTCTCATTAGAAGTGGGTAGTTGTGAGAGAGAATATATAAGAATAAGGGACAGATGGAGTAATGTTTAGCATACTAATCTTGGTTAATGATTTATTCAGTAAAACACATCATAGATATGTATGAGGCGCACAAGGCTTACAATCTAGCTTAGTTTATAAAATGATATTAATTGATATAAATATAAAAAATTTATAGCACCGGAGAATGTACGAGATATCTAATTATAATACTCTTCTGATCCTAAATATAAGACCCTTATACTAGTGTATATAAGGGTCTTATATTTAGGACCAGAGGAGTACTTTTTTTGGTCAGTGATATCTAATCATAATACAAAGTTTAAAACAAATCTCATTATACATTCTTAAGTTATGAATAATCCATAACTTAGATCAAAGTCTATGTAAAACGTGTTTTTGTTAAATCTATATAACATTAGTTCAATAATAGCAAATAAATAAGTTGGTCATAAGAGATAACAAATTAAGCACGCTACGTTCCTCATGTGTAAGCTTCATTTACATGTTATCACATTATAAGTGATCATTATATGTTATCACATTACAAGAGACTGTTATATATATATAGTGATCATTATATAATTTTTGAGGAATTCATTAAATTAAAAGGTGAGTATATGAATATCATATGGAAAATGATAATTTTATGGAAATATTTATTATTTATAGAATAAATGTAAAATAATTATAGGATATGTCAAATTAAAGAAAACTAAATTATGCACCATGTAACCAAAATTAACCAGTGAATTATGATATTCAAAAGATTAATTAGGCCATTAAACAAAAAATAATTTGGTCATTATTAAATTGAGGCCTTAGAATAATGTGGTCCAGCCCAGGCTAAGCAACCGTGGTGGCCCAAATCCAAGCCTGGGGGGGTTCAGGGAGGGCAGAACGCGGGAAACACATGTCGGTTAACATAAGTCATTATTATTGATAAGTAATTAACAGTATGATTATATCCAATCCAATACATACAAATAGTGGTAAAATGTGTCTACTAGAATATATTTTGGGCCTGAGTCCATTGGAAAGATAACCACTTTAAAAGTTCTACTTCGAATTTTACAAAAAAGAACAAATAAATATGTTCATATATAATATAACTTCTATAAAAGTATATATTTTTACCAAAAATAATATATATAAGTTATAAACTTTAAAAACTTAAGTTAATCTTATTGATTAATATTGCATACGAATAATTAATTTATTCTGTTTTTAAACTTAAGTTAAACTTTATAAACCTTATCAACCATGAAGAGAGATGATTTAGGTCCATGTAACTTTTTTTATTCTTTGATAATATTAATTTCTCCGTATATTTCATTGGTCTCCACGAAACTTTATTGCTAAAGAAATGCGTACAATTTTTTTGGGGGAAAAAAAAAGAACTTTTAAGTTACTTATGTTCTCCCTTTAATGCATCATACCAAAAAAATTGAAGATATATCTATAGTATAGATAGAACTCAGTTAAAAAAAAAAAAAAAAGACTAACATATCTATGGTATAAATATTTAATATCACTTTATTTTTTATTAAGGCTAGCTTATCTCCATCAATCCCTCTGAATTTTGGATCACATTATTTGAACATAACCATCTTCTTGTAATTTAACATACTGTCAATAAATTAAGAATTGGAGAAATCCTCATGTACACAGGTACATTTAAACTGTAAAGAAGAATTCATTTCAATGAAATAATTAACAAGCAATATTTGGGCAAAAAAGGAACATGTTCTAAGTAAATAATAATTAAGAAACAATTTCTTCAATATATTATTCATCAATGAAATAAATAAATAAATGAATAAAACTATATATATTAATTTTAAAAATATTATTTCCATATATTTTTGTCGGAGTGAAGTGGGGGACAACACGTACACTTTAGCCTTCTTCCTTCCATGGACAAAATGAGAAGGGGGGACTGCCTCCTTTGCCTCCACTTTCTTCTAAGTAATGGGACACACACATATATGCATATACATCTATATATATATATATATATATATATAAGCCTATAAAAAGAGGGCGTAACAAATAAAAGGTTACCAAACCAAATATCTATGCACCCATAAAACAAGACAACGTCAAATTATTTAGAAGATTCCTACATATGAATAAATATTATATATATGCATATATATATATATAAAACAAAATGGAAAAGATATATCTTCTCTGTCTATGAGCATATGACATATATATGTAGAATCAGATAATAATAATGGTGTGGCTTCAATATAACCCTTGATTATATATGCAGATTTGGAAGCATCGTTTTCCAAACTAAAGTAGGAGATACGCATATGTTGATCCATCAATTATTTAATATAAAGTCAATATTTTATCACATAAAATATATATATATATATATATATATAATATAGATGACTTAGAAGTCGAGAAGAACACGATGCATATCTTTCGCCTAGTGTGATGCATAGAAAATAAATCTAGTTCTTTAAGAGTTTGCATGATGGCATGGTAGAAAATAAAATTTAATTTTTAATTTGACAACAATTACATATATGAAATTAGTTAGTAACAAAATTTTGGTTAAAAAACAACACAAAAACACCATGCTTTTAAAAACACTGATTTGTTTAAGAGTGTTCAAACATATTAATAAGACTCAATTTAGAAGTAGTTATGACTGCTTATATATAAATTCTCAAATTTGAGTCTATATGAATATAAAGTAACTTCTAGGAGAGCTACCTAGCTCGTTAAATTAGTACTCGACAATGTTTAAATATAAGCCAATATATGCTACCGGACGTTATATATATTTATTTTAAAACAGAACAAAAAAAAATAACTTCATGATAAAGAGCTGACCACGGGCCTGTTTGGAATGACTTATAAGTAGGTTTTCAAATGTGATTTACAGAATATGAGGTAAATATATAATAGTAGATAGTAGTTTTATCTTCACTTACATTAAAACGCTAATCAAAACAGGGCCCACTTTGTATTCAAGCTTTCCCTATAGTCATAGCATGTGCTATTCATCCAGACATAAAGGTTAAGTAACAATCAATGGTTGTTTTATAAGATAAGATATCAAGAGTTGGCCAAAACAAGAAGATATCAAGAAATTTCCGGGAAAGTAAGTTATTAATATCTTTTCGCAAGGATAAAGTTCTTAAATTTAATATTACCTCTTAATATAAGAATTAGTTTAATATTCATTTTGAGTCTAAATATAAGATCCCAATCCACTTTGTCCTTTATATTTATTTATTTATTTTCAATGCATTTCTAATAGTAATTGTACATGTTAATAAATGTTTCATTACATGGTAGTTTTAGTTAATACATATATATGATTAGTAAAGATATTTAGAAAAACAAATACATATTTATTATAAATAACTGATTTAATTAATTTTTTTAATATATTCAAATTAGCTGATTAATTTTTATATCAAACACTAAAAGTCGTATATAGCATATTATTGTGTGATTCGACTTTTGCCCGAACGAATCAGCACTATTTGACGAATCAAATCACGTACAGAAAAGACGTAAAGGCGCACACAAATATGTAGGCAGCTATAAAAGATCACATTAGAAAATGGCTCACCAAACATTTGCGCCAATAAAACAAGACAAAGCCAAAATTAAGTCCTGAAATATCGGTCCAAAAAAAAAGCCCTGAAATGAAAGCTGAATAACTGGGGAAAAAGAGAATTCACACAGACATATCGGTCCCGTTTCCCATAAGGATAAGGATGTAAGTTTATTGAATGTTAACCAAGCTAAAATTTTACAGTAAGTTTACAGGTAAGTCCACACACACACACATATATCTCACTTCTTATTAAGCCTCAATTTCATCACATATGAATTTTTTTTGCCCCATGAATCAAGTCAAATTTACTCATATTTAATATCCAAACATGAGAAAATATGAATTCTCCATGCAAAAATCAACTTAATGAATAACATACTAGAAATTTTTTAGGCAAAAGTACAACTTTAATCCTCTAAGTTTATATAGTTTTAATTTGATCCTTTAATTTCAAAGGATAATTTTAATGTTTATTAATTTTAACATTATTATTTTGGAATAATGATTTTTTTTCTTACAATCATTTTTATTTTAAAAATTAAATGTAATTCATTAAAATTTAAAAATATTTTTTCAACATTTAAAATTTCAGTATCAGGATTTTTAGTAACGGTACCGGGGTTAAAAAACTAAAAGAATATTTTATAAAATTAAGAGATGAAAATAAAATATTATTAAAAGTTAAAGAACAAAGGTATACTCTTTCCACCCTAATAAATGTATATATTTGACAAGACTTTTTAATCATTATAAGCTTTCTTTCTCTTTTATATATATATATATATATATATATTTATATATTATATCTCACAATCATTATAAGCCTTCAGAATTCATGGATCAGCTTATTAATTTAAAAACATTTTTAATATATTGATATCGTCACCATGCTAACGATACTCCGCCCACCCACAGAATTACGAATGCCTCTTTCTTCCACCACTTTTTTTTTTGTCAGATTTTTTCCACCACTTTATTACAAAAGTAAAAGAAGAGTTTGATATGCATGGTGCAGCTATATATTGATTAAACAAATCAAATTAAAACATTACAAAACATAACCAAACATATGTAAACAAGATCACAAAGCCAAATATAAAAAAGGCAAAATGACTGTCTACCAAACTTCCACATGCATGCATAATATTTGACACTGTTTTATATATCTTCATTTAAAATTGGAGGAAATGTTCATTCATGAATTGAAAAGGATCATACACCAGTTTCGCAACGATATTAACTTTTTATTCTAAAACTAAATTGTTGATGTGTGTAACATAAATATTATTGCTGAAATTATTTTTGGCGAATAAACTTACATTATAGATAACCAGTTAGCTGGGAGGCTTCTCATGCGTCACAACATTTAATTTTAAAAATGAGTCATATACTATTAATATTTAATAACCTGTTAATAGTAAAAAAATTTTAAATTTTATATTAATAATAGCGGTATGATTGACACTCACTACAATTATTAAAAAAAAATCTAGCGTAAATTTCAATGAACATATTGATATTCTCTCAACAGTAATAAAAAAAGAGAATAATGGAGAGAATTAAGAAAAATATTTAGAATGTTTTAAAAAATTATATTAACTAATTTAATTAATATTTTTATCTACTCAAATTAGTTAATTAGATCTTATATCAAAGATACGAGAAATATTAACTATTGGTAAAACTGCTTTTGAGGAAACGCGTACTATAGTATTATTTGAGGTATCTTTTGGCGCTCAAAAAAGAAGTCAAGGTCACCAAACGTGTATGCACCTATCGGCCAAGACAAAGCCAAATTATTGAGCTCCTCAGCTTAAATATGAACAATTGTGAGGCTGCTTTCGCAGAGAAGGAAAGGTACTTATCTATGCGGCCCACAAAGATCAGTTTTTTTGTCAAAAGATAGTTTTCGCACGTCAGAATAAATTTGGGTTGAGTTCTTTTTTTTTCGTTTTTAATTTATTACGTCAGGAGAATTTGAACCTTTTAATGTCTAGCCATATATATATATTTCATCCTTACCATTTAAGCTAACTCAGCTAATCAGTTAAAATATATTAGAAGTAACTTATAAATAGAATCAGAAAAATATAATGTAAGAATTTTTTTTTCTTTTTGCTGTCACGATATAAGAATTTTATGTGTAGGTGTATTATAGTATTTTCATCTTATAACATTAATAAAAACCATATCCACAACTCCATATAACCACACAAAAAAAAAAAAGAACTATTGCATATAATTATAGGCATGAGTTTCTCTTAGTCTATGCTGTTTTTACCTATTGTCTAGGAAGGGTTTCAAGAATTGAGGTAACGGTTTTTAAGCATTATAAGTGAAGGTTAATAGTTAATTCATGAATTAGGCAAAACTTACCAACTCAGATCAATTATTAGCGTGAGTGGTACAGTCTCTCATTATTTAGCCAAATGGTTATGTGTTCAATTCTTAATCCTTTATATGGAAAACCTAATTGGGAGAGATAGATTTACCCTTAATTACCCTTACCCTCAATGCTCAAGAAAAATTAATTTCTATTATTCTCCTTGAAGAAAGAAATTAAATAAATTAGGAAAAAATTTTATGTTTGTTAAAAAATCAACAAAAAAAGTAAGTAATCTTTACTTTGTTTTTTCCCCCAAAAAGTAATTTTTACTTTGTTAAATTTTTCAGAATCTAACGCAAACATTTTCTGATGCTGATACATTTGATGCAGCTATAAAACAAGGCACGCACGCACAGCAGAAGATGGATGACCAAATTAACAAACACAAACCAGACAAAGAGAAATCAGAAAAGGCTAAAGCAAACACTACTGTTTCATAATTTCCACATGGGTGTACTATAATTATTTGACATTTAATATCTTTATTAAAATTACTCATAGAAAGTGTTGAATGATGAATTGAATCTGAACTAACATGCTCAAAAATTAAATATAATAGCGCGCGCACACATGTACACAGCCACCACCAGGTTCTGTTAATTGGATAAATGTATCCATCTGAATAAAGTTGAAGCACCATAATAAAAAGCATGAGGTCTTATTGGCAAGTTGGCATTTGGAAAGACGTCCTCATTGACCAAACTTCTTCTCAAAAGTGTGACTCTCGATCGTTGGCTTTACAACCTAAGATTATTTGTGGAACACGGGAAGCCCCCCTTTTGCTCCAATTATTCTTCTTTTGTCTTTCCTTTGTCTGGTCCATAAAACAGAGCATTATTATTAGGTAGAGTGACTTTTTTCTTTCCTGTAGTAAAATAGTAGTGCTCATACGGATTGGCAATTGTAAATTACTTATAAGCATTTTTACGTAATGACTTCACATACTTACCTCATATTCAATAAATTCCTATTAAAAAAATCTGATTATAAACAATTTCAAACAAACCTATAGTATACGCACCCATTACATACCACCTTTTACTAAATGTTTGAGCTCACAGGCTCGCGCTTAAAAACGTGCTTAGTGTCAATTGGGTTATAAAGCCCCGGCTTATTAATTAGAATAATTAGTCACATGAATATATCGTCTTCCTTTTCAAATTTACAGAGTCTTAGTTCAGAACTAGAAGGAATAGCGTTAAAAAGAACCAGAAGAAATAGAGGGTAAAATATATGATTTTTCTTTGAGTTTTATTGAATTACATGAACATCAATCATTATTTCTAGAACTTAAACAAATCTCCTTTTAAAAAAAAAACAAGTTGTAATAAATTTTGCAGATTTTATCCGAGAGCTTTTGTAAAAGTACACATACATACATCTGAAAGTACAGGTACATCTCTTATTTTCTAAATAAGACTTTCATGTATACTTTAAATATAGAAAAGAGGCTTGTATGTATAGCGTTATGAAAATTCAATGAATGTATGTATAATTAGTCATTATATTAAAGAGTATGTTTGTGTAGGATTTTTTTTAAAAAAAAGATTAATGTTTGAAAACTAAAGAATGTTTATGTTTATATTGAAATTAAAAAACCTCTAATTTTAGGAAAATTTAAAATTCCTTGCACATGTCTTTTACTTTTAGGTTTTAGGGATAAATTTCCACCATTTGTTGCCGTAAGTCATTAATGTTTTATTCTTGTCTAGAGATTCCAAGTTCGATTGCTAGTGCTAGGTAGTAGTGGAATGAGTTCAGCCATAACTGGAATAAATTGAAAATGACCCAAGATTGTCCTCTTTTTGCTAGAAATGTTCATTATCTTTTATTTTATAAATTTTATATATGGTGATTAGTTACAAAAAATAATAATTTTTAATCATATCACATCATTATTTTTATGAATAATTAGTTTATTATTTTGTAGTTTAAGGATTATATGGCCATGAACACATCTTTCTGTCATATTGTTCTAATATTTTCATCTGTCCAATTTTTTTAAAACAAATTAAAATTCATTCCTCTCTATGTCATGCCAAGCATGATGATAAATTGCATAATTTATTTTTTATTTAATATATATTTTAAATTACATGTTGGCCCCTTCAGAGAAGTTATATATGTAAATATTATTAATCTAAAAGATGTTTAGATAAATTTTATCAAAACTTCGCCCACTGTTGTACACAAGTCCTAGAATTGACTTAAACATTTCAAGCATTTATCCATGTTATATGTTACAGGTTATATTAGCAACACATCAACGTAATACTGCCATTTTTTTTGGGAGCAAAAATGATCTATATCCGATCCGTTATGTTTTTACCAAACATGGGGACAGTAAATATACTATTTCAAACTTCATTTATGCGGTAAATACTAGTTGACAACAAGATATTCCGTTTTCTACGGAAGAAACAATAAAATATTAATTATTAACTAAATAGCACATTCTTTCGTGGGCCCAATCACTATCACTTTAATTAATTCCTATTCATTCATTGCATCAAAACGATTAATCCATATCATCATTCAAACTCTTCCTCCTTTGAACACCTAATAAGAAACTCTATAAATACTCACCACTTCCGTGGTTCTTCACCATCCACTCAACAACCTCACAAACCCCTCTCTCTCTAACTCACTCTCTCTCTCTCTAAAACTCAGAAACTTATAGTTGAGAAAGAAGAAAGAGAGCATTGTGAAGAGATGGAGGATTTACGCAAGATGTTGAATGGGTTAAAGCCAGTGATATTAATGGTGATGGTTCAGATTGCTTTTGCAGCAGTGAATGTGTTATATAAGCTCGCCATTAATGATGGAATGAGCATGAGGATTGCTACCGCCTATCGTCTTCTCTTTGCATCTGCTTTTACTGTTCCTCTCGCTCTTGTCTTTGAAAGGTCTGATTCCTCCTCCTTCATTACTTCCTCTCTGGTCTTAAACGTACGAGCTAATTAGAAATTTGATTTGGTTTTAACATATTAAAAAAGGGTTTTCATACAAGGATAGTTTTCATTGCAAAGAATAAAAAAAGTTCTCTGAGGAAAACAAACAGATTTTTTATATATAATAAATAATAGTTAACTTAACTAATTTTGTTAATTATTTGTAAATTAGTTATTTATGTAGTTCCTGCGTTTAGGAGTAGGAGGGTTACTTAATTCGGTGTTCATTATATTAACTTGGCCAAAAATGGTTCTTTTTGTTGTTTGTGTTTTGACAGGAACAAGAGACCAAAGCTTACTTGGAGAGTACTTTTCATGGCATTTCTTTGTGGCTTATTTGGGTACATATTTCTTCCCTTTTGCACGTCCTTGTTTTTGTTTGGATATTCTAGGGTTAACCGCCACCAAAACAACAAGTATATATGCTTTGTCTTTTATGACCAAATCACTTATGTTAAATAACTGGTATATGTATTCATATGGTTTATGTTTATTTTTTAATTATATTTCAGGGGAAGTTTATTTCAAAACCTCTACTTTGAGGCTCTGGCTTTAACATCGGCAACGTTTGTTTCTGCTATTTACAACCTTATTCCGGCCATCACTTTCATCTTGGCTATCTCTTGTGGGTATGTATATATAATATTTGTCTCCATTTTTTATCTTTTTAGTAAATTAACTAACTTTTTTATCCTCTGAGCAAAAAATATTTTTTATACTTTTATTTAACTAACATGTTCAACAAAGCTGTGCTGAAGTCACATCTTAGTGGAAATTAAAGTTACGTATCGTGATCCAATATTATATTTATATCAAAATTATCCACGTGGCTAAAGAGGCTTAAAGGGATAGATAATATTGACAATAGCATATCTGCATGACCAAAGTCAAATCACTCTTTTCCTTTCCTTTTTTCTTCGCTGAATAAATTAATCTTTATCTTGTTTTTATAAATATTTAACTGTCGACATGCTCATCAATGATATAAATTTGCTTTATATAAAGCAGTGCTGAAGCCACCCATTGATCGTACATTCCAAAATGAATATCGAAATTCTCTCTATGGCCTAGTGAGATATATAAATATATATATTGTGTGTATTATATGTGTTTGTAGAGAGAGATGAGTCTCTTCTCCGTGGGACGCTTTATCTCTCTTTTTTAGCCTAAAAAAAAAAAGTCACTTTACCAAAACTAAATCTGTTTTTATGTTATATTGGGTTGGTCTGACAAGTTGGACTAGCATATATTACTAGCTGTATTGAAATTTGTTTGTTAATTATTATACAACTTAGTGGAAATTAAACTTTACCAAATAGGACTTTATATTAGTGTAATAATTAACTATGCATAATAGATATACTTATTTTAATCAACCTATTTGCTTTTTTTTTTTTTTTTTTGGTGTTAAATGTATAAAGGTTTGAAAGATTAAGTTTGGGAGCACCAGGAGGAAAAGCGAAGGTGTTAGGAACTATAATAGGCATTGGTGGGGCAATGCTTCTTACTTTCTTCAAAGGCTTCGAAATTCACATTTGGTCCTTCCACGTTAACCTTTTGCATCCCCATCATCATGACCAAAACGGCGTCGTATTGACCCCACAACATGCTCACTCAGAATTGCTTGGTGTTCTCTGTGCCCTTGCAAGCTGCTTCTCCTATGCCTTTTGGCTAATTATTCAGGTCACTTTATTTATTTATTTATTTAATTGTTCATCTTCTTCATCATGTCGTTTAATTTGTGATTCAGAGATATCTGAATTGTCGTTTTGATATATGGAACAGGCTAAGATGAGTGGGGAATATCCGTGCTATCTCTCAAGCACATCTTTGATGTCTACAATGGGATCAATACAAGCCACTGTGTTTGCCCTCTGTATGGAAAGAGATTTTAATCAATGGAAGTTGGGTTGGAATGTTAGGCTCCTGGCTGTTTCTTTTGCGGTATGTTACTATCAATTATTTTATTTATAATAGCATAAAATCACTAATATTAGTGGAAGTTACATAATCCTCCTTCAATAAAGTTAAGAATTTGAACAATACAGATGATAAAACAAAACATGTTGAGAAATTTGTCCCCCTTAAACTTGACACTAATGACCATCCATATGTAACGTCCGATATCAAATAATGTAAGGCATTCGTCCCTTCTGTCTTCCATGTTAAAAGATTGATTATTCCATCAATTAGGCAGTTTAATATAAATGATTAAAAGAGATATCTTAGGAAAAAGAAAACGACATACTGTTTTCTCTCCAAATAAACGAATTTTTTTAATGCCTACAAATTAGTTATTGAACTCGTATGTTTAAGACCGATTGAGTAAATGATTAAAAGAATTTTGTTGAATTTTGCAGGGGATTGCTGCATCTGGGATGGTGGTGATAGTGATCGCGTGGTGTGTGAGGATGAGGGGTCCAATGTTTGCTTCTGCATTCACCCCTTTAATGCTTGTAATAGTGGCCATTGCTGCTTCTTTGACCTTGAATGAGAAGCTCTACTTGGGAAGGTATGTACAATGTTGATGCTGAATCTTATAACTAAACTACTACCTCCAATTCTTAATACAAAAGCTAGTTAACCAATTTAAATAGATTAAAAAATTTTATTGAGTTAATTATTCGTAATAAATATGTGTTATATTTCCCAAAGTACCCTTACTAAATATGTGTATTAGTTAGAACTATCATTTGATAAAACCTTTAATATGTGTAATTATTATAAGAACTACTTTGAAAAAAATAGATAAATATAAGAGGATTTTATATTTAGAACCAAATTGGATGTCAAACCAACTCTTATATATACTAAGGACAAAAGGTAGTATACTCTATAAATATATATATATATATATATATATATATCAAACATTGGATTTAATTGGGGGTTTGTTGGTTAACGTTGTACGTGCAGTGTGGTTGGAGCATTGTTGATAGTGTGTGGGTTGTACGTTGTGCTGTGGGGAAAGGGCAAAGAAATGAGAACGATGACTCAGTTGGTGCCATCATCAGAAATGAGCCAACAACATCATCTTGATGAGCCCATTCAAGTTGTAGTCACCAACGTATCAGATCCTAACCATCACAAGATTTCGCCAGAGCAATAATATATGTGTAGTTTCTGCTATATATGTAAAGTTCATCATCATTGTTCTTCTGCACTTGATGATCCGCCAAAAACTGATGAGCGTGCATGATGAAGCTAGGCAATGTCGTGGTCTCAGAGACTTGAACGACGTCGTCAAAGTGTTCCGATTTGGAGATCCTTCGTCCACTTGATGATTTATATGAAATGTAATATGATAGAGCCAGAGAGAGATAGAGAGAACGAGAGAGCTTTACACTACTTGTGCTGTGTTCCATGAACAAGGAAGCCATCTATTTTCTGTGTATATCTCCTCACTTTAATTAGTAGTAATTATAATTATGTATTTTAAGCCCAAATCATAAGATTATGTTGTGTTAAGGGTTCACTAATAAATTCAATTGCTATATTTACTTTCATGAACTTTATGTAAGTAGAGATTTATACCCTTTACGTATACATGCAGCATCATTGCCCAATTTATGTAATATACAAGGCAGTTGACAAAAATTGATATCTTCTACTCTATATATGATTTAGAGTAGAGAATAAGTTGTAGGAAAAAAACAATAAAATATCCTCAAAAATATTAAAAGACAAATTATTTTGGATGAATTTCAAAACCCCAAAATCAAATTCCTAATATTATCTTGGAATTTTAAATGACAAGATTGTCCTTATACTCTCAGTAACTACTTTTGTATAACTATTGACTACTTTAGCTTTACTATTGACTATTTTTATTTTTAAAGTTCTGATGACTACTTTTATATAGCTATTAATTGCACAAGAACAATAAATATCTAAATAAAAATAGTTCCTTAAACTCCAACAACACTTAATACAACTTTTGAATTTTTGAACCAAAATTAGTCAATAACAAAAATAAAGTAATCAACAGTTAAACAAAAATAATCATTGGATAAATAAAAACAAATACAGTCAATAACTAAAAAAAAAGTGGTAATTACATAAGAAATAGTAGTGCAGCAAGGGCAGCTTCAAATTTCTTTAAACTCTCTCTAAACATGTATGCTTGAGTGGGCTTAGATACATACAGAAGAAGCCCAAAACAATTAGATTTAACCCAATTGGTCCCCCTTGTTTGAAACTTTAGGCCCATTATGTTTGGCCCCAAGGAATTGCCATAGGCCTTTTGAAGGCGGACGAATCTTTTTTTCTCTCGAGAAATTAAAGTAAATTTTATTGCTCCACGCGTACCTTTTTCTTGCTCTTAAGACATATGTTCTCTTCTGTAACTCGGGAAATAGAAGTGGAAGAGGGAGGGCCCCCGGGTGGCTAATCATAAATTAAATGGATTTGGAAATTCATTCCGTAAACTTAAGATTTTGGTAGATAAAAGTGGGTTCATTTTTGCCCACATGTATCAATTTAACTCCTTTTTTTAATTTCTATGAATTAAGCAAAAGGATTTAATTCTAGAGAAACTTGATATATTATCATAGCCTACAAAATTACACTTACCTGTAATCATGAGCAATGCCGTTCACCACATACTCCTCTGGTCCTTAATATAAGACCCATTTAACTAATTTGATTAGATTAAGGAAGTTAGGTAAGTTAGTTAATTATAAGAAAAATGACACATTTTTTCTAAAACACCATAATCATCTTTCTTAATACCCCATCTCCCTCTTCTACTTGATTATGGTTGAGGAAGTATCCATATGGGTAATTTAGAGAAAATTGATAAATATGAGAAATGGGTCTTATATTTAGGACCAAAATCAACTCAAGAATTGGGTCCTATATTAAGGACCAGAGGAGTATTTTGCCTAACTCATATAATTTTCAATTTTTTCCTCCCACACAATACCCACACACTTAATTTTCACTACATAATTGATATGTTTTAAATATGCTAATAGAAAATTTCTTAGAAGAAACAAACTAGAATTTATATCAGAATATTTTACATAATTACACACACCTTGAATATAAAAGAATAGGGAGTTACTAGGCATTACAAAATCACTGAACAAAAACTTACTACACCTACACAATAGAAGGAAAAGGGTCTAGCAGGGGCACAGGAATATAAATCATGGGATGAGTCCTTGGAAGGGTTAAAGATGGTTTCCGGTCCATATTGACCATTTGATTGCCTCCAATCACCTCTTAATCAAAGCATTGAATCATAGCAGCTAGGTTAGTTTTCACAATCTATTGTGCCAATGAGGCACCAGGACAACTTCTTCTTTCACTTCCAATGGAATTAACTCAAAATTCCCATAATCATGATGATCATTCATCATAAACCTCTCTGGCCTGAACTCAAGTGGGTCCTCCCACAACTGTGGGACCCTCCCAATTGACCATAAGTTTACAAGCAACATTGTATTTGATGGAATCTCAAAAACGCAAACGTTGCAGCTTTCAGATGATTTTCTCCCTAATAATGGCACTGTTGGGTGAAGCCTTAGTGTTTCTCTAAAGATGGCTTGTAGGTATGTTAGGTTGACTAGGTCAGATTCCTCTACTATCCACGCCTCTCCTGCAACTGAATCAATCTCTTTTCTTGCTTTCTTCATCACATGGGGATGGTTGATTAATCCTGCCATTGCCCACTCTGTGGTTAAGGCTGATGCGTCACTTCCAGCCAAAAATAGGTCCTGCAATATTTAACAACATATATGCATAGTATTGCTTTTGAAATACATACGCTGCCAATTATGTGCAAGAACTTCTATAAAGAGATCAAATCACATTTATTATAACTAACTAATTCATTTGACTTTTTAACCTACCTAAATTACTCAATTAGCTCTTTAATATATACTCATTTGATCCTATTTAGAAGTCACTTCTAACATGTTTTATACAGACAAAAAAAATAAATTTTATTAACTCTTATTTAAAATTCAATGGCTTTTTAACTTTATCCCTATTTAATATATATTATATGCTATGTAAACAAAGTCAACACAATAATAAATTAATAGTAAAATTATATATCCATACAAAAATATTCTCTCAATAGGATCAAAAAATGCCTTCGCTCACAGTCCTTTAAGGAGGTGTTTGGGATTATATCAAAAATGCTTTCTAAAAATACTTTTTTGCAAAACAAGACAAACTCCTCCACATATTTATTTTTTATATCGTAAAGGTACTTTTAAAATTATGATTTGGTTTCCATCCAAACATCCCTTAAATAGGACTAAAAGAGTGTGAGTGTGTGTGTATCAATCAAGGATCGGAGGGAGTAAAACACAAAGATAGTAAACATGAAAGTAACTAAAGTTTAACTTATTAGCAAGATGAAAGCTTTGATGTTATCTAGGGAAATTTTTATTTCAGAAGTCTCATCATCATGTATGTCGGGTAAAATATCAAGCTAATCCCTTATTTTTCTTTCTTCCCCAGCCATCTTCTTCACTTTCCTCGTTTCGTCTTCATGCTCCTTTATCACCTCCTCCATCAAAACGTCGAACCTCTCTCGAAGCCTTCTCAGCCTGTTTTTCTTCGAATCCTGAAAATTGAAGTACTTAAGAAACCAAATAAAATCAGATACATTGAACTTCCCTATAAGCTCCACCATGTCTATCACCAACTTTCTAGTCTCTCGAGCTTCATCATCATTCCCAGAAGAAGATCGACCCATAATCATTCGTGATATAATACCATTGCTTAATGTCAAGAGCTCGTGACCAACATCAACATTTTCACCAACCAACCCTTTCTTAAGCATAACTCTTAGAAACCTCATTGTCTCCGATCGCCTCACCGGCATGAGGACATCTAGGGTTCGACCACCTAGAAGTTGAGAAATGCATAGCCTCTTCATGAACTTCCAGTAGGGTCCATAAGGTGCAAAAGCAAAGCCTTTGGATCCATACAATAGGTAGCGAACGTCGGCTTTTGGGGACCTTTGGAAGAAGCAAGATTCGTGGACTTTAAGGAATTCTTTGCTGATTTCAGGAGTTGAAGCAACAATACAAGGGACATAGCCGAGAAAAAGTTGGAACATTCGTCCATAGAGAGTGGAGAGACGATGAAGAGCTCGGCGTGGTAAGGGTAGAAGAAGGTGGAAGTTGAAGGGAATTGAAAGACGACGCGCAGCAGAAATCAACTTAAAATTTTAAAATTTTCAATCTTTTGCCCGGATCTACCGATCCCGTTTAAGTCAGGTAGTAAGAAGCATTACCTTCGGTGTTCAATTTCCTGGTGGCTCGGTGATTCCGCCGTTCAGGATGCCTCTGCTCGCCTCCTTTGTCGTTCGAAGTCGACAACTCCGGTCGGCTTCCTCTACCGGTATCCACACGAGTAGCCCTCAATCTCGAACGACGTGCTAGCATCTATGTCCGTCTAGGGTTTTCAAAAATCCATCCTCTCTTCTCACTTTTGGCCGTCCCTTATCTGCTTAGTGCTTTCACTCTCACTCACCAAAACCCTAGCTCCCTAATATCGAATATATAGGATGCTATAGGCATTATGAATGATATTTAATTTCAAAATTAATCCTAAATTAATACAATATCAAATATTACATAATTAGATAAGAGAACAATTAAATAAATACGGTTTATATTAAATCCGTCTCACAGATTTAATTCACCTATTTATTTAATTCAAAAATAAAGATATGACGGAATTAATTTACATAGATCTAATTTATCCTTATAAATTAAATCTAACAATTAATATCTCTTATATTTATATAATATATATATACGAATATATATATACACGTCCACCCTATATTATTCATTGAATCTAGACATATCTTAGATTCAATGAATCTGGACATCATAACTCGTGTTGGGCTATTTTGTGTGCGACCCTGTAGGCCCATATGAAGTTGGCAGTGGGCCATTAACTATAATGACTCACAAGTCATAAGCGGTCTCTAGCAAGACATCACGACTACCCAAAACATATAAGGATCATTGAACGATGCAACCTTTCATACAACTATATCACGTCCCTTTTGTCACACGACATTTTGGTCATGGATGAGGCATGGAGAACGTCATCTTCCTATTCATGACCGTTACTTTCTCGATCCCTGAGTAGTCTGAGTATAGAAACGGAACTACCTTTCCATTATAGTATGGCCATACATTTCTCAGACTCACTCATCGAAGGGCCCAGTAATGTCTCTCTATAAATGTGAGGGACAAATTCCATCTTGACCATTCACATTCCTCCGCATGAAAAACCACTAAGTCTGAACATAGTTTTTATGATCACTCGGTCAAAAATGACTTTTGACTAGGTCAAAGCTAAGCGTTTCTCATGTAGGAATCCATGATGATCTCAGGTCAAAGGGCACAGTGACATGGTTTGTATATGAGAGAAGCTTATGACTTAACCCATGCAGCTCTCTCATA